CTCGGAGTAGAGCCGCTGCTTCTCCACGTCGAGAGGAACCAGTTGAGGTGGCTCGGGCATCTGTTCCGGCATGCCTCCTGGACGCCTCCCTGGGGAGGTGTTCCGGGCACGTCCCACTGGGAAGAGGCCCCGGGGAAGACCCAGGACACGCTGGAGGGACTATGTCTCTCAGCTGGCCTGGGCACGCCTTGGGGTCCCCCCGAACGAGCTGGAGGAAGTGTGTGTGGATAGGGAAGTCTGGGCGTCTCTGCTTAGACTGCTTCCCCCGCAACCCGGCAACGGATGAAGCGGAACAAGATGGATGGATGGATGGAGATAGCATACGGTGCTTGCTTCTGTCTCCACCGTGAGTGAAGTGAATGGAAACTATTGATACTCCAAAAAAATTATAACGCTTTGTGTGATCTTTATATGTGAATGTGCTATATAATTAAAGATTTTTTTACTGGCATGCTGTTGGTTAACCCTTTATCAAATCATTAAGTCTAATTGTGAACAATAACATTGGATATTGGAGACACTATTTTTTTTTTCACAAATATGTTTATTATAATTTTCAATTTAAGGACAAAATATATAACACACACATAAGAAAAATTAAATAAAGACCCTCCCCCCACCCTCAAACCCACCCTTCACTCAATTACAACAAAATTATTTTCTACAAATCAAAGTCTTTTACAAGGCGTAGAAAGGACAACCAAATGTCTTTAAAGTCCTCCAGTTTTCCTTTGGCAATATATGTCAGTTTCTCCAGCGCCAAGTTACTGGACATGAGTTTAATCCACTGATTCACTCCAGGTTTTTCTGTGTCCTTCCATTTTAAAGCAATGACATATTTCGCCTGCACCAGGCAAAAATTTACAAGTTTCTTGTTCTTTGTATTGCATTTAAAGCTATTTGGAAAAATGTGCAATATACAGAGTTTACCATCTAAGGGCATTTTACATTCAATTAAATCAGAAATTAGTGCACAAATTTGCTTCCAAAAGATTTGAAGTTCCTCACACTGCCACATACAATGATAAAGTGTCCCCTTTTCTTTACCACATTTGACACAATCATCTGGTATATTAGGGTTGAAATGATGGAGTTTCACTGGTGTGATGTAGGTTCTAAATAACCACTTGTACTGTACTAATCGAAATCTTGTGTTGATAGTTTGTTTTTGTGCAAGAATACAGGAGTTATTCCACTCTTCAACTGAAATGTCTGTTTCCATATCAGATCTCCAGGCTTGTAAATATGAAAGACTACTTTCTTTTGAGGCTGCAATTAAAATATTATAAAATTTGGAAAGTAAGCCCCTACTGTGATGATGGTTAACAGCCATATTCTCTATAGTGGACAGTGGGGGCTGCACAGTCGACTTCAATAAATTAGTAACAAAACTTCTGACCTGAAGGTACTTAAAAAAATGTTTCTTAGGCAAGTCGTATTTGTTTGTCAACTGTTCAAAAGACATTAGAACTCCATCATTGTACAAATCCCCTAGTTTACACACACTTTTATTCATCCACATTTTAAAGCCCATATCCGCACGTCCAGGTTTAAATGTAACATTGCCCCAAATGGGTGACAGAGTTGAAAGCTTAAACTCCTCATTCAAAGCAACATGTGCCAGGTGCCAGATCGAAACAGTGTTTCTGACAATTGGATTTTTTGTGTTTTTTAGCAGCTGTTAATTTCAGCTGAGTAAATATAGGATTTTAATGGCAATTCTATTGTGTTGTTTTCAATTTGTATCCAAGAAGGAATATCCTTACGTGAAAAATACGAAGTAGCGGCACATAATTGAGCTGCCCAGTAGTACAGCTTCATGTTAGGCAGTCTAAGCCCCCCTCGGTCGAAAGGTAAATATAGAAGAGAAAGCCGTAACCTGGGCCGTTTATTATTCCATATGAATTTGGTAAAGTTTTTATTTAATAATGAAAACAAAGAGGCAGGAATATGTAGGGGAATAGATTGAAAAAGATATAGAAACTTTGGAAGAATCGACATTTTTATAATATTAATGCGACCTATCATGGAGATTGGCATCGTGTCCCATCTCTCTAATGATTCTAAAACCTTTTGAACTAGAGGGTCATAATTGATAGAAACAATTTTCTTTATGTCCGGGTTAACCTGGATTCCCAAATAGGTAAAACCTTCGTAGGTGCAGGTAAATTGTGTTTGGATAGGAGGGTTGTTTTTGTTCAGAAATAACAGGGAGCTTTTCTTCTGGTTAACTTTGTATCCAGAGAAATGACCAAAAGTCTGCAAAATATTTCCCACTGCATGAACTGACTTCTCCAAGTTAGTTAAAAATAAAACAATATCATCCGCAAAAAGGGACAACCGATGTTCAGTTTGTCCTATTTTTATCCCAGTCAGCTCGGGGGAGTTGCGTATAGCCATAGCAAGCGGTTCAATGGCAAAAAGAAACAACAGTGGGCTAAGGGGACAGCCCTGTCGAGTGGATCTACAAAGTTGTATAGGTGTAGACAACTGACTATTTGTTACAATTTTAGCAGTCGGTTCCGTGTATAATAATCGGACCCATTTCAAATATTTTTCTCCCAGACCAAATCTTTTGAGGGTTTCAAAAAGGTATCTCCATTCTATTCTGTCAAACGCCTTTTCTGCATCTAATGACAAAAAGGCATGGTCAGTGGCAGATTGTTTTTCGTACAATATATTCAAAAGTCGACGAATATTATGAAAGGCTTGGCGGCCCAAAATAAATCCATTTTGATCATTAGAAATTAATTTTGGAGTGTGTGATTCAATCCTGCGAGCCAAGGCCTTGCACAATATTTTAGTGTCACAGGACATTAGTGATATGGGGCGATATGAACCCATTCTGTTGGAGTTTTACCTGGTTTTAGAATGACAGAAATGGAGGCCATTCTCAAAGACTGTGGTAGAATACCTTTTTCATAGGATTCATTAAACATTTCAAGGAGGTGTGGCAATAATTTGTCAGAGAATCTCTTATAAATTTCAATTGGGAGTCCGTCAGGGCCTGGGGCCTTGCCACTGTTCATATGACGAAGTGCCTCTTTAAGTTCTTCTACACTCAGTTTTTCATCGAGGTTATTTTTAGTCTCTTCAGGTAGGATTGGAAATTGCAGTTGATCTAGAAATTGATTCTGTGGATTTTCATTTTCAGGATATTCAGATTTATACAAATTTTCATAATATTTAGCAAAAGCATTGTTTATACGTGTTGGGTCTACAACATTTTCTCCATCGTCCAGTGTAATTGAGTTAATAGCTCTATCTGATTGTATTTTTTTGAGCCTCCAGGCCAGGAGCTTCCCTGCCTTCTCACCCTGATCATAGTAGGACTGTTTCAACCACAATAAGTTTGTAGCTATTTTGTTAGCGCTGAGTTCGTTATATTCAGACTTTAATAATAGAAGTTTCTTATATTTGTCAGCGTCATCTTGATGATATAATTGGTCTTGCAATTCCTTTGTTTGTTTTTCAAGGTTCTTTAGTTTACTCAAATGCATTTTTGATTTACTTCTAGTGTAGCTTATTATTTCCCCCCTTATATAGGCCTTAAATGCCTCCCATTTTATCGATGCACTGGTTTGGTTTGTATTGAAGGAGAAATAATCTGTTATCTTCCCTTCTAGAAATTCTTCAAACTCAACAGATTTCAACCATTTCGCTTGGAATCGAAATGGGAGTGGATGGGAACTAAAATTGGGTATCTGTATGGATAAAATAACTGGGGCATGATCAGAGAGTAGAATAGTTTCGTACCAACATTTCTGAACCAGAGATACCAGACTGGAGGAGACCAAAAAAAAATCTATACGCGAATAAGTTTTGTACGTGCTGGAGAAACATGAGAACTCTGCCTTATCAGGGTAAATATGTCTCCAAACCTCCACCAAATTAAGGTCTCTCATGAATTTCCCAATAGTTTTTCTTGCTTGTTGGTGGGAGGTGTCAGAGGTATTTGATCTGTCCATTGTAGGATTAATCACACAGTTAAAATCACCTCCAATGATGTACTGGCCACTATAAGATGAAATAGTTAGGAAGAAATGTTGGTAGAAAGCAGGATCGTCCCCATTAGGGGCGTATAAACAAACCAGATTGACTAAAGTTGAAATTATAGTGCCACTAAGAATAATAAACCTCCCAGAAGGATCCAAGTATTTATCTCTTAATTGAAACGGAATTGACTTGTGGATCAGTATGATGACACCTCTAGAATGAGAGGAAAAACTAGAGAAGAATACCTGTCCAGGCCATCGGGATCTCACCCGGTTAATATCTTTCTCCAGCAAATGAGTTTCTTGTAAAAAGCATATTGTGGTCTTCATCTGCTTTATTCTACCCAATACTTGCTTAAGTTTAACAATTTTATTTAGGCCACGTACATTCCAAGTGGCCACATTTATAGTGGAGCTACCTGACATAACACAATTAACTTTTTATTTTATTATGCCAAAAGAGAGTGGCTGTACCCTTTTCAGTTTCACATCCATGTTTTGTAGACACCTTAAATACAAACGACCTTGAGTGAAGCTCCCAAAATAAAACCCCGCACATTTCCCCAAACGAAATGTGACCGTGAACCCTTCTAGACTAAGAACTTGGGTTAAACAAGACGTTTCATCCACAATGTGGGTAACGTACAACTGCGCACACATAACAACACCGGTGTGCTCGCAATAACAGTAGTCTCCGTTGAGAAAACCAGCACCGACCATCAGGAAAACCAGCGGCCCATACCGGCCCCCCAACAGGAGAACTTTGACCAAACAAAAAATAAAATAAAAATAAAAGTATGAATATGCCCCTGGTGTAAAAGCAGGTCAAATGGAAACTAGAAATAGTAGTGAAATAAAATGTATATCGTAAAATATGTATAGTCAAGCCAGTCACTTACTTATAGGTCCATTAGAACATCTTATACGGCTCTTGCCTCACAGTGACGGTCCGCTCCTCAGAGAGAGAGAAAAAAAAAATAATAATAAATAAAGGAGTTTCTGAGCTCAGTCTCCATCGTCGTCAGCAGCTGGTTGTCTCATTTTCTTAACGTAATCTTCAGCCTCTTCGTCCGACTTGAAGATGATACGCCTTTCGTTGTGTGTGATCATCAGCTGGGCCGGGTATAGCATCCCATAGCGGATATTCAGAGCGCGCAGCTTTGCTTTTACGCCGTCGAAGCGCTGCTGCTGGCGGCGGGTCTCTGGAGACAGATCAGGGAACAAACTCAGCCGATGGTCCTTGTAGAAAATCTCCTTCATTCTTCTGGCAGCGGTCATGGCGGCCTCTCGATCCCGGTAGTTCAGGAACTTCATGATCAGTACTCTCGCCGTCGTAGCTTTGGGGCTGTATGGTCCAATTCTATGCGCTCTCTCGATGATGGGAGGTGAAGTAAAACAACCACCGAGCGCGTCTGTGAGCCATTTCTCCAGAAATCCGCACATGTCTTTGCCTTCAGATTTTTCGGGTAGTCCCACCAAACGGAGGTTAGAGCGTCTGTTTCTATCTTCATAACTCGTAATCTTGCTGGATAAGTCGGTAATAGTTTGCTCAAGTTGTTGAACTTTACCTTGGAGAGAGGCTACATCATCTTCAGCCCGTGATATTCGCTCCTCAGCCTCATCGAGTCTTTGTGAATGCGCCTGTACATCCCCTTTCACACTTCTGATGGCTTCCAGTGTGTCAGCAGAATGTTTCTCCATGTCGACTCGTAATGAGTGGATAGCGTTGAGGATTTCACTGTTAGTAGTTGTCTCTCGAGCAGCGTCCTCAGAGTGGGTCAGATGCGGCGGCTGCGTAGCTTTGTTAGCATTAGCTGTAGCAACGTTAGCATTAGCTGTAGCAACATTAGCGCCGTTGTTCGATCTGGTTGTTTTTATAGTTTGTTGGCCTGGTGTGGCACCTTTAGGTGGTGGCATGATGAACAAAAAAATACTAAACACGAAAATGCGTCAAAATGATAGTTGGTCAAAAGTTAAGGATAAATCTGAAGGATTTTGTTGCGAGCCACTCACACGTGCGACCTCTTACCAAGCAGCCATAACCGGAAGTCATTGGAGACACTATTAAGCCTTTATTGTTTCATCCATGTTTTGTTTAATTCTAATCATATTTAATTCCACTTTCACAATTTTAATCTTGTCTTGGAACTGTAAAACTCAAACTAATTTTGTTGACGGTTCAGTTGTTAATTACTTTTGCCATGGAGACGCTCTGTTAATGTGCTAGCAAGATAACTATGAAGAAACTACTGATTACGATCTCTTGAAAGGTCAAGATTTTACCAATTAATACATAATTACTTGTGGGTGTGACCCGAAACAATCTGACCCCAGATTCTTCCATTCTTATTCTATCCTCTAATTACTGTCAAACATGTATCGTGAATCTGTATTTATCTGCCCTAGACATCTATCAATTGATTGCTCCCCGAAATTGCCTACACGCGTGGAATCAGATCAAGTAAAGGTGCGATGCAGTGTAATTCAATTGATTATTCACAGTCATTATGAGGCCTAATTGTGGTTGGCAGGACAAACTTATCGAGCGCTTCAGTACTTTAGTCAGAACAGCCTGTGGGCAAAGGTGCAGTGGTCTATGGAGGGGGCGTGATGGATGCCTCATTATGGAGTTAACTTTTGGAGTCTCCTCACCTCCCTCATCCTCTCGGTGTCCACTTTATCGCCAGTGATGAAGCGTTCTTTCCTGATCTATATATCGACTCGGTTCTTGTCTGTCAAATGAATCCCAAGCTACGCCACACTACTGCAGCGGCACAGCACTATGAGTGTTACTGTAGAAATGTTGTGTTCCCGAGGTTTAACATGTGGACTTTTCGAACACTAACGGACAGTAAGTAGTGAACTTTGACTTGGATTAAAGATCGCTGGTATGCTTTGGGTTTATGAGTGACAAGGTGACAGCGGCAGAGGAAAACTTACTGGAGAAAAATGTCTGATGTGATATTTTTGATGAAGTATCCTTTCTGTGATGGCGCCATGAATGTGTGAAATGGATAAAGATCTCAAAGATATACACTGCTTTGCCCGACTTGTCCATAAGAAGTTAACCGGTATATGAAGGACTTGGATATCTAGGCTTAGGCTGATGGTTCCTCTGTACTTCCACCCCTTTTATTAGCTCATAGTTCACATTCAAATTACATTCAAGTTCAACCATATATATGAAAAAAATTACAAGAAGAAATGAAGAATCGTACCGTGCAACTGTAGAAAAGGGAAGGCTAACGCACCTCTACTCTCCTTGTGTGTGTATTTCACCCCCTGCTGGTTAGGAGGTACTATCACATCCAATTGGTTCACCTTTCACATGTTATGGCAACTAAAATGTAAATATATTCGGCCATATACTTTCTGTTTGTTTGCACCAGAAATCTACGAGTCGCTGAGTTCATAGTACATTTTTGGCCCTTTTACAAGTGCTTGACATGACGTGACGATTGTTTCTGTGCATGTAGCCCGATTGCAGCTGTACGCTCCTTTAGATCCTCAATTTGTATTTTTAATACTATTCTTTAACCTCTCATTCTTTCCGCGTTAGGCTTCAGTACAGATGTTTAAACATCACTCTTCACATTCTTCACATTTGTCTGCGCTTTCCTGCGTTCTAAGTCTCCCAGTCCCACTTCAGTGCAAATAAATTTGTATTCTGCATGGAATGCACTTCAGTCTGATGCAAACTTTATGTGGAGTTAAATCTCTCACTTCTACTGTTTTAGTTAATTTTATTTTTTGTTGGACAATATAACTTATATGCAAAGTGGATGAAGCTGGCAATTTCTAATTTGGAAATAGTATGAAATAAAGAAGGTTGTACTTATTTTAAAGATATGACCTTCCTGGACTTACCTGATCGGAGTCATTTTATTGTATTGCTGCAAACGTTGCTGAGACAGCCTTTGAGGCAATGTATTTATACTTCCTTTTGAAGCTGAAAGTGAAGTGTTTATCTGTAGCGTCAAAGTTAATTGGGTCTTTTCTTTACAAAAACACCTCAGAATTTTGTAGAGACAGAACTTATACTTTATCCAAGAAAATGAAATAATTAGCTAAAAAAAGCTTATACTCTGTCTACTTATGTAAGCAGTGCAGATGGACCAGTTACATACAGTCACTTTTCTTTGAACTCACAAACTGTTTCAAAGTTGGTCCAATATCTTCAGATATATTATGGCTATTTGAAAAAACAATTTTTGTATTCGAGAAAATGGTATGCAACACAGAACAGACGAGGTGGAAAAGGTTCATGTGGGCTAGGAGAACGGACCACTGACCCTCCCACCTCTCAAAGTCCATGGCTCTGACATGGAATGGAAGAGCGGTTCTGCACCTGGCCAATCCTGCTTACAGGATTGACCAGCCACAAAGGCTGTTAGCCTTTGTGGCTGATATGCCATTAAAGGAGCAATATTTACAAATCTGGCCAGAAGTGGTACTGCAACCTCTCCGACTCTCCCTGACTCAGGTTTCCAGATATACAGACGAATCCAGCTGCGACTATGATTGCTGAATAGACAAGAGATTTCTCACCAACAAATCTGTAACCACCTTTTTCAAGGCCATTAGAAATCCTTGTTTTATTCCTTGTTTTGTCATTAATGCTTTGAGAATCATAACAAGCTTTTTTTTCATTCTGCGGCCACATGTTACTTTACCAGTAAGATTAGCTCGACGCAGTGATTTCTGGCAACCCGAATCATAGACTTTCTCATTGGTACAACGGTGGAGGACGGGACATCAAACTTAAAACAATAACAAGATTTGGGGATGTAAACCCAATTTTGAAAATTCGATAAGAGCATGATTTCTTAATGCCTTTTGACGTATTAAGTCCATTTAAGGATGACTTGACATGCAAAAATATTGATTCTTTAAGTGTTTATGTGAACTGTGCCTCTTTCTGCCGTTGGAGTAAGAGGCCCTTGTTATGATTTTGGTCGTTTAATCTGCCCTGTTTTCAGGTGTCACAGGTTTTCATGACACTTCACTTTTGTTAGAGCTTTCATAGTCCAGATAGTGTTTGTTTTGTTTTGTTACCCCCTTCTGTCCTTTTGTACCCATTTTGTTTTTTGTCATCTCATCATTTACATCCCTATTATTAAACCAAGTCTTATACCATTTTACATCTTGTTTTTTTTGTTTCCTCGCTTATGTATTCTGATGGCGTTCGCTAACTTTGAAATGTTGATAGCAATGCAGCTTCTTATACAGAATTTCTTTATTTTATAGTTTAGTTTTCCATTTGTTAATATTATGAACTTTTATTTGGGAACACGCACAGAAGTACACCGTAAGTATTTCACTGTTCTGAGTGTCAATGAGGTGTTAACCGGGAAACCTCATGCAGAGACATTGTTAAACAAAAGTTTGGTAAATATAGTTTTATTATTTTTTCAGAATAAAATGAAGCATAACATTGAACATGAAATTGCCATAATTACTTTAGTTGGACATAGCAATTTTATCTATATGATGTAAAGAAATAAAAAAAGTTTATATTTACTGCCTTCAGCCAGAATGGGAATTTGATATTTATTTATTTGAAAATCTGTTAAAACGCATGCAAGACATTCAATTCATGGTGTCAGTCTATTGCAAGAGTGATGCAATTATTGACAAGGAGCACACTAAGAACATGACGCTCAAAAGGAGTTGGAGGAGGTTTAAAAGTTTAGGTATCCAACCCCTGTTGAATGATTGAACGGTGATGATCCAGGGCAATTTAGAACGTTTATTAATATTTATGGACAGTGGTCATCCTGCCCTCTTTGGACAAATTGATGCCTCTTATGTGTTTGTTATTGTTGCATGTTTGATTCTCTGATTTGGCGAATCGACAATTGTATAGACCTCTGAGATGATTACTGCTGTGATTAGCGAAATTGAATATTGTCTTGGAAATTTCCTGGCAATTACAATATGCAAAAATATCTCTAACATTACAACATTATTTACATTCTAATGCAGTATGGCACACTCAATAACCTCAAATCTTTCCTTAAAGAAGCTATTACCGATTTATTTTCTAATGAGTTCATAAAAATGCTTATTACTACATACAAGTTGTATTATAATCTGTAATTTAATTGAAAACTTGAGCTCATTGATTCACCTTGTGTGTGAATTCAGGCCGTAAAAAGTGCCGAGTAGAGAATTGGCGTGACGCTCGTTCTCCTCCACTCACGGAACAAGCCTGCGTCCTCTAGCCTCTACCCATGGATCTATTATATTAACTGGATAGGGTATTACTAGCTTGGAGCTGAAGAACTCATGTGCTCGGGGGATTCTCGCGGTAC